TGATGTGTTTTGGTGTTTATATCATGTTAGTACAAGTATATATGAAATTGGAGCCATAATATGCAAGAAATGTGGTTGAAATGTCAAATTTGAGCTCAAGAACACAATCTGGGAAAACCCAAAAATTTGATGTCCGCTCAAGCGTGGAAAACGCCGCTCGAGCGTGAATTTCGTGATCCCAGTATTTTCTGCAGACCTTGGTGTCCGCTCGAGTGGGGAAGTTCACGCTCGAGCGGGGAGCTATATTTGATGAACTTCCGCTCGAGCGTCCGAGTACATGCTCGAGCGTAAAAATGATGCATCTAGCACTTTTTGCAGACATGGAGTCCGCTCAAGCGGGGTAATTTCACACTCGAGCGGGGAGCCACGAAGAGAGGCCTTCTGCTCGAGCGCTAGACTTCAAGCTCGAGCGTAATTTTGATGCGCCCAGTACTTTTGCAGGCCTCAAGGGTCCGCTCGAGCGGGGAAGTCCACGCTCGAGCGGGGACCCTGTTTTCTGAAATTTTGCTTATGCACTCTGAGTTCCATTTTCTGTTCTCTTTCACTTCTAAGTACTCTTAGGCATGCATTAAGCATTGTAATTGAATTAAAGAGATAAGAATGAAGCCTAAAGAGGAAAATGTGAATTAAAGAACGGATTAAATTAACTGTGACCCATATGTGTTATGTGATGTGTGGGGTCAAGCTCCAGGACAAATCCACAAGCCGATCACTGTGAGTAATATCTGAAATATGTTATTGTCCAATTGCTTACTTCTACGTAAGTTTTGTAAAGTTCATTAATGTTGAATGGTGGACAAAGTTTGATATGACAAGTTTGAAAGGCTTAAACGCCAGTTTGAAAGGCTTAAATGCCAGTTTGAAATGAAAGTCTGAAAGGCTTAAATGCCAGTTTGATATGACAAGTCTGAAAGGCTTAAATGCCAGTTTGATATGACAAGTCTGAAATGCTTAAATGCTAGTTTGAAATGGAAGTCTGAAAGGCTTAAATTCCAGTTTGATATGACAAGTTTGAAAGACTTAAATGCCAGTTCGATATGACAAGTTTGGAAGGGCCGAAGGCCAGTCTGATACGAAAGTTTGATAAGGCCAAAAGGCCAGTCTGATATGAACGTTTGAAAAAGCCAAAGGCCAGTTTGAAATGAATGAATTGGGCCCAAGGTCGTCTGATGTATAATGTTCCAATGTATTTTCCTTATTTGATATCATTCACTGGGCTTTTGCTCACGCTCATTCATGTGTTTGTAGGTGAGCCAAGAGAGGTCCAGACCCAGCCCCAATGAAGGCTGTATGGAACAACCGAGTTTTGGAAAGTCAGCCTATGTGCCTCACGCATGAGACTCACCTTTGCCTTTTGCCATTTTGTTCTAAGTTGTTATGTTGGCGAAGTATTTGAATATGTCTGTATATAATTTTCACGGGTTGACTTAATTTTGGATGATCCTGTCTATACATAACTTTATGGTACTGTGTATCTATTGTGAGTTATTAATGTATATGTGTATGGTTTGTTTTAATGTGCCATGTAAGCACAGCTCTAAGGACAAAGTTTTAAATTGCTTCCGTTTCCCCATTAACTCTGTTAAAATACGTTGTTTTGGTTTGAGGGCGTAGGTGATCTTATGATTACTGGCCGGTTATGTCCTTAACCCACGGGGGCGGGTTCGGGTTATGACAATGCCCCTTTCAGTGTGCTTCAATTTTATACTGTGGTCTACCCTGGATTTAGCACATTTCCCAATGACAATATCACCACTCTGGTGGTTTGCTCCAATGAATGGAAAACCATCATTCTCAAGGCTGTCAACACGTCCAATTTTGCTCTGCATCTTTCCAAAGTTGACAGTATCCTCATACTTGGGCTTCTTCCCTAATGCTTCATTATTATCAACCTCAACTTTGTAGCTTCTTATATATTTGATCTAATTCAAGTGTTATTGTGTTTGGATTATAATCTACAATCTTCAATTTTGAAGGGTAATGGGAGGGCTTTCTGTTCCGGCGCAGATGTTGTTACCCTTTATCAGTTGCTTAATGAGGAGGGTACCCTTTTCATTTCTTTTCATTCTTTGCTGTGGATTTAGCATTAGAGACTTTTTTTTTTTTTTAAGGTATCAAGTTGTTAATGATTAATTTAGGTACTCTTTTAGTTATAGATTTAATGGCGGATTGTTAGAATTCAAGAAAGAAGAAAGGAAGATGGGTAAGGCTGCAACATTGGGTGTTTTGTGAACAATATGGAGGGAACGAAATTGAAGGGCTTTTGAGATTGTTGAATTACCCATCCATAGTTTTGAAATGATCTTCCCTCTTGTTTGGTTGGGAGAGGATTGTTCATTTTGTTTTGTCTTTTGTTTAGTTCAAAGAAGAAATGCATTGGTCTGTCATGTGTAACCGATAGGTTCCAGGCTTTTCGCTGTATAGGGTTTGCTCTTTCTGATGCATTGTACATAATTTTGATTGTACATGGTTCACACTTTTAGGTGCTCTGTACAGGTTTGCCCCCTTCTGGTGGTTTGTTTATAAAAAAAAAAAACTTACAAAAGGTAGATTTTAATATAAAATTAAAGATTTAAGGAATCCAAGCTGATTCTTGTTTTTATTTTTTTAACACCCAAGCTGATTCTTGTTGTCACCAATTATCATGGCACCAAAGGCTTAAGGAATATCTTCAACTTGGTAAGAATGGTTGAAGTGGCCAAGACACCTTTAATGCTATATGATTACTGTTATGAAAAATCTGACATGCAAAGGCATCTTTTTTACCATGACTGACAAAATTATTAGATTGGCTCGAGTTACCTCCTTGTTTGCTAGGACTTTTAGATTATTTTCCTCCAGTAGACTGAAAGCCATGTGCCCCTAGTTCTACATCTGTCAATACTGTCACTACTAGTTCTGTGCCTACTAGTATTTCCATTTTGAATAAAGCCTTTTCATTTAGAATCGAATCCATTTTGTGTGTTATTATTTTTGTGATTTTGACCACAATTAGGCTTTTTGATCCATAAAACTGTTTGAGGTAGACTTGGACCATGAAGTTTAGTACGAGCTTCATGTCTCTGGAGAAGAGGAATAATATCATGATAAGAGTAGGAGGTTTGAGCATTGTGGTTACAAAATTGTCATATTATGGACAAGGCCTTGAACTTCCTAATGTATTCGTATGTAAAGTTTGTACCTTTATGAAGAAGGGACGCTTGCTGCATTAATTGGAATTCTCTCTTTCACAGCTTTGTCCATACACGTTGTTTAGCCTCTCCAATCTCATGTGAAGTGGTAAGTCCGATTACCAGCTAAGTAACCTCATCTGACGAGATTTCGGTGATCCAGTTATGATGGAAACCACCAGACCATCTCCATGCTATAAAAGTTGGATTTTCAACTTCCCTTCGTCCAACAGGGACAGTCTTTTTAATCACACAATGATAGCATGACTTGCATATCTTGCATATCTTGGCTTTCAATTAGAGCAAGCATGTGGGTTCTCCATAACATATAATTATGATGGTTTATAATAGAATTATTATTATCAGTAAAATCAAGCATTCGATGGTGTTGGCTCTGATGGTGTTCCCAACCTTTAATTATGTGCAGGGAAGGTTGAAGAATGTAAATTTTTTTTCCAGACATTGTATAAGTTCGTGTATATTTTAGGAACATATCTGAAGCCACATGTGAGATTAATATTGTATACGTTTCTTCATTTGAGGTCTTTGTTATAGATTAATATTGACTATTTTATAATTTATTTCTAAGTTTTTTTGTCATTTCTACAGGTGGCTATCTTGGATGGTATCACAATGGGAGGTGAGGCGGGTATTTCTCTTCCTGGAATGTTCCGTGTGGTGACTGATACAACTGTATGTCCACTAACATAAACTACTAGATGCAATTGATTTTTTTAAATATTGCTGATTTGATTTTATTTCAGTATAACTTGCATTCTATCAGATAACCTTGCTATGCACTTCTGATGGCTAGCAATAGTTTAATTTAAAAATTGTGTCATATAATTATATGGAATAGACTTTTGTTGAGGATTTAGTTATTACAATAAACTCAACTCAACAGCGCCTTATTGTAACATTTTGGATTGTTCAAATGAATCCTATTTCCTGATTTTCCTTTGTGTAGGCAACATGCTGCCATGTCTTTCGTAACTCCACTTTAGTTTTGGTCTTTCTCTCACCTGTAAAATAGCCCTCAATTTGGACTATTATCATCACTCTTCTTTACTAGTAAAGTTCTTTGCTTTGGATAGTGTTCTTTCTTTTTTTCTCAAATTATTGCTACTTTCATTGTCTAATGTTTATTTTTGACCTTTTTACATGTGCATCTCAATGTCCACATTTCCACCACACTAGTTAATGATCGTGTTATTCTTAACATTGTCCACATTTCCATCCTGATGCAGGGGCCTCCTACTATCATGCATAGACAAGTTCTTTGACACGTTGCACCCTTGTGATTTTTTCTTACATGCTTCAACTCATAATATAAAATAATAGAATGCTTCCTTGTCACTTAGGTTTAAATCAGTTATTATACCAATATTTGGTTGCAGCTATGTCTTGTATATATATATGCAGGTAATTTTTATTATAGATTGCCAAATTGACTAAAATTCCTTCTTATTATAAATGCAGCAAATTATTTGCAAAATTTAAAATCGTTTTATTTTTTTTCCCTTTACAGGCGAATACTTGGCTTTAACAGTGGAAAAACTTAATGGAGTGGAAATGATCGCCCGTGGCCTTGCTACACATTATTCACTGAATGCAGTTTGTTCTTAGTTCCTTTTTTCTTCAGTGAGTGTATTCATGCTTTATTTCAATGTGTAAGTAGCTTTTAGTAATTCACTCTTCGTAACAGAGACTTGCTTCGGTTGAAGAACGCCTCGGTAAATTGATCACAGATGATTCTTCTGTCATTGAGGATTCTCTTGCACAATATGGTAACCTTGTCTACCCCAATAAGAGGAGTATTTTGCATAAGTAATGTTCGATCTTATATTTTCTTGGTTCTTCCATCTTTTGTTTCTATTTTTATATCTCTATATTGCTTTTGAATTTGTCTCTTAAAATTCACAAATATTGGGGAAACCCAAATTTTCAAAAAAAAAAAAAATTCCGATTGTTATTATTTTCATCTTTTATCTTGGTCCATACTCCTAGCTTAGTTTGTTTCTATCCTTTTCCCCTCCCGTTTTTTGGCTCAGGATTGAAGCAGCTGATAAATGTTTCAGCCAAGATACTGTTGAAAAAATTATTGATGCTCTGGTAAGCTTGATATTATATTAGTTTCTTTTTTCCTTTTAGTTTGATTGAAAATGTAAGACTTGGAATCCACACCTATGTTAGATGGACTTGGATACGGGTGCTGGGTGCAAGTATGTGTCCGAGTGTTAGATTCATCTAATTCCTATGTTCAAGGACACGAGATATGACCAATATTCATATTTTATTTTATAGGACAAAGTAGTATTTACAAGGTGACAAAGCATTTCATGCTGCATAATGCGAGAGTTATATGCATGGTTATATGGAATACTTGAATTGTTAGATATGTTTGTCAGACACATCTCATACTCCATGTGTCAACTGTACGATATGGGTATTGTTTTTACACATTTAGAAAAGTCTATGTAAAATAGGATTAGATATATTCTGACGAGAGATAGTCTCTTTTTTGGACATACAGACATCCACATCTGCACACACACAAAAGGCTACATAATGGATGTTATTTTTAAGAGTCATTTAATTTTTTTGTTGTTAGAATTATTTTTGGGAAGATGACAGTAATTTGTGATTCATTTGTGTAGGAAAATGAGGCGGCAGAGTCTTATGATGAATGGAGTACAACAGCCCTCAAGAAACTGAAAGAGGCATCCCCGTTGAGTTTAAAAGTCACTTTACAATCTGTGAGTTCCTAATCCTTGCATTCTGATGGATTCTGCTTGGATTGCTTCTTTTTACCTATTATTTGACTTACAGTTTCTCTTCTGCAATTAGATACGAGAAGGTAGGTTTCAATCTCTGGACCGTTGTCTTGTTCGTGAGTATCGTTTGTCCTTGAATTGGATCACCAAACAGGTCTCTAATGACTTCTGTGAGGTATGGGTTTTTGTGATGTCTCATTTAGATTACACTTTGGACACTTCCTTCTTAGGTGTGGTTTTCCAATTACTTTTTTTAGTAGTTATTTTGCTTTTCTAGAATTTAAAAATTAAAAAAAGTGATGTGTTTGATAATTGCTAAAAATAACCTTTTTTTCCCCTGTTTTTCTTTTTATATGGAGAAGGCATCACAAACAAACAAACTTGTTTTTACTTTTTTTTGCCCAAAAACTGCTTATTTAGTTCTTCCCGCACAAGGCAGTAGATTCATGTCTGTTTCCATCAACTTGTACAGGGCGTTCGTGCACGACTGGTTGATAAGGATTTTGCTCCAAAGGTACCCTCGTAATCTTTATCTTCATTGCACCATCTACTTCGAATTTAATGTTCAATTTCTTTCAAAATAAGTCGCTGACCGGTTTATAATTATAAATTTGCAGTGGGAGCCTTCAAGTTTAGGAGAAGTGACTAAGGACATTGTTGACTACTATTTCGCTCCCCTCGATGAATCTGAGCCTGAATTGGACTTGCCCACAGCATTGAGAGAACCGTCTGTTTAGAGTTCCCACCATATTTTCCACAAGGGGAACTGTTAAATTTTGGAATTGTCATAGGCATGGGCGGAGCTTTGCATAGAATAGTGGGTTCAATTGAAACCACTCAACTTTGAATTATTTTTTTAGAATTATGTAGTATTATATAAAATTTTTTCATTGCACCATCTACTTCGAATTTAATGTTCAATTTCTTTCAAAATAAGTCGCTGATCGGTTTATAATTATAAATTTGCAGTGGGAGCCTTCAAGTTTAGGAGAAGTGACGAAGGACATGGTTGACTACTATTTCGCTCCCCTCGATGAATCTGAGCCTGAATTGGACTTGCCCACGGCATTGAGAGAACCGTCTGTTTAGAGTTCCCACCATATTTTCCACAAGGGGAACTGTTAAATTTTGGAATTGTCATAGGCATGGGCGGAGCTTTGCATAGAATAGTGGGTTCAATTGAAACCACTCAACTTTGAATTATTTTTTTAGAATTATGTAGTATTATATAAAATTTTTGAGAGGTTGTCATAAATTGACACTATTAAATTGTTCAAAAAAATATATTTATGAAAAAAAAAGAGTTTAAAAAAATAATTAATTTTATGTTTTATCATAATTTTATACCATTTTTTTTGTTTAGCACGCATAACTATTAATGATTAAATATGAATATGAATATGAATGAGATTTATGGATATCATTACAATAATCATTGTATATATCACATATTAGATATTATATAAAAATATGGCGAGTGTAACCTTATTAGCATAACAGAAATGCACCGTAGCTCAAATTCTTGAGGCTCGAGTGGCTCGAAAAGTGAAATTTTTTCTCTCCTCTCTATTTGTTTCCTCTCCTTTCCTCTGTATCTCTATTCTTCGAAACAAAAAAGCATTCAAACACTCTCATTCAATAGATTTAGGTTTGATTTGAACTGATTTGTGTTTGATTTTGTTTGATTTGGGTTTTGATTTTGATTTGTGGTTGTGATTGTGATTTGTGGTTGTGATTGTGGGTCACTACTGGTATTGGTGTCCATAACCATGCCTATGAACTACGTATATATATATATATATATATCACAGTGAATCTCATTTTCCTAAAAAGCTAAGTGCTTGGTGTCTATGGCCACGAATTGCCAATCCTCCAATCAAATAAATATTTAAAAACTTGGTTGGCCGAATGGTTTTTTGGCCGGCTGATTGGCTATGCTATCACTATTCAAGTATCTTTTTTAACTATCTCTGCAATTGTTAATGGGTTTTAAATAGAGGAGAGAGAGAGAAGAAGGACACAGAGAGAATCAAACATCACAACTGCACATAACATCTCTTTCTAAATTGTGATCCCACATTTTCTCTTTAATCACACCATTTTATCATTAAACAAACAAATCAAACCAACCCAATTGTTTCTTTGTTCTGCAAAATAGTAAAGCTATTTTGCTCTTCTTTTTATGTTTTGTTTGGTTTTTTTTCTAGTGGATCTGAGGTCTCTCTCTATCTCTGCAACTGTTAATGGGATGAGAGGGAGCGTGAGGATGAGAGGGAGCGAGAGGATAAGAGGGATGAGCGATTTCACGAGCCTGAGTTGCTTCGAGGGGGATGGGATGAGCTGTTTCAATTTTAGGTTTGAATAGAGGAGGGAGAGAGAGAGAGAGAGAGAGAGAGAGATATGAAGAATATGAAGAGAAAAGAGAAGGGGAGGATGAAGAGAGGCGGGGAATAAAAAAAGAAGTGCCAAAACGACGTCATTTTGGCACCTCGAGCCATTCGGGCCAGGGAATGTTCGAGCTACCCAATAGCTTTGTTAACATAACAAATATCATGATATTATTTTTTTTAATAATGATATAAAAACTCATACATAATTTTTGTATAAAATGTTGTAATTTAATATGGGCATTTTATTTTAAAATAAAACAGCCATGCAGATGTTTTTTATTTACGACATCAAATTTTTTTTTTTTTTTTTTTTTTGGTATGAAAATTTTATATATGAAAAAAGAGAGAAAGAAAAAAAGAAAAACAAACTTTTTTTTTAAAGCACAAAAATTTTCATTCCTTACAAAGATATATATTTTTATTTTTTGTTTCTCAAGAAGAATCATTTTGTCTGGTCTCTATTTGAAAATTGTAATCTCATTGTCTTTAATTTTATTGAAGAAATAGTATATTAGTATACCTAAGTATTGTTGTGCAATTTGACTAGTTTGAATTACTTTGTAATATTATTACATATCATATTTAAGTATATTTACAATAGATATGTGAAAATTTATTTTGACTAACGTTTTATAATTAAAAGGAGGAGGATCCCCTCCAGTCACTGTTTTGGAATGGACAGGGTTGTTCTGGCTCTTGGGGCCCACCACGGGTTTCGTTTTGATAATCCAAACCGTTCATTTTGTAAGCTATTTTGTGTATTTCATTCACACAAAAAATTAGGTTGATCCGATAACTGTAAGTAGTTCAATTTATCGCATTTTTTACAAAAAAAAAAAATAGATGACAAAAAAAAAAAAAAGGAGCTTTTCTGATAAATCCCATTTCTAAGAGTTTTATTCTATCCAATCCATATTCTTTTTAACTATTCCATTAAGTCTTATTTGAAGTAAGAAGACTAAAACACCCTCAATCTCTCATGCCCCCATTAATGTTGGTTGTCATTATGTTTTGATAGTTTCCATGACTATTCTTATTCCCCATATCTTCACTCTAAAAAAATGCATTAACTACACACCACTATTTAATGTTGATATATATTATACACAAAAAATTAAATATGGTTCTTTATTGATTGTCATTATATTTTGGTAGTTCCCATGCATCCAAGTGTTGATTGTACGTGATGACGTGAATGTTCACATTAGATGAACAACAACTCATATTATATAGAGAATATGAATATCCATCCATCATTTAAAATATGTGGATCATATTCATAATTTAATTTGCACAATTGGCTTGTTTTTCATGCTAAAATCTCTGAATAATTCTTTTTGTATTTCTATTTTTTTCCTCATATACTTAAAGAGTTATGTTGTGATTGTGTTTTAAAGAAGAAAAAAAAAACAAAAAACAAAAATTGAGGACCTAATATGCAGCTCTCTTCTCATTCTTATATTTCCTAAACTTTTTAAATATAATTATAGAAGTCTTTGAAGTTTGGTATGTATAATCATATATATAGATTATGATTCCAATTAGATAAGGTAATTCTAGGAATAATAATCACAAAATTTAAGGAAGCAATACCAATAAATTTTGGTAATGATTTAGAGGATTTAAAAATTACCTTAATTTATATAAATTATATTTTCAGCTAATCATAAAATGACGTGTGTATTTTAAGTGTTATAAAATTGAGAAAAATTGAAAAAAATTAGAGTGAGACTTTCAACTTCAAAGAGGCTACAACACTTTTACTTATATTATATAATAACAATATGATTTTATCATCTACCAATACTCTATTAATTTAATTGTTTACACGAATGATTTGTTCAGTAAATTTTACAAAATAAATGATTTACATATAGAGATAACATGAATTGCGTTGTGACAGAACTATCATATCACCCGTGCTATGCAACGGATAAAATAATATATAATTTATTAAAAATATGATAATTATATTTAATTTTTTTATATTTTGTCTCTCGTAAATAAAATTTTATATATAAATTTAAGTGTTTTGTTTCAAATATTCCTTTACTATAATATATACTATAGATAAATTAAAATTGTTGTATTAACAATTAATAATTAAAATTATGCTTTGTTATAAAAAAAATTGACATAATTATAATATTTCACTATTTTAGAATAAAAATATATGAATTTTAAAAAATTGTCATATTGATTTTTGAAAAGGAAATAATTAAATAAATTTTAAAACTTAATGAATAAGAAATAATCATCGTAAAAAATAAAATTTCTAAATGCTCTACTATAGGCACCCCATTTTTGACCGCCCTTAAGACTTGGGGGCCTCAAGTTTATTGCTCAAGGATGAAGACTATGTTGTGCAAATGTTCAATTTCTTCGGCAAGAAGAGTTCCAAATCCCAACCTTACACCCCATTTGTTAGGTTTTTATTCTTGGCAACCCCGTTTGACAAAACTCCTTTAAGTTGTATTTGTTTTCGCACTTTTTATTTCAATAAGGCTATGAGTGTTTAGATACGAATCCAACCCGAATTGTGCCTTGCAGAGAAGTTTGTGATGTTAATTCTTTCAAGATTGCCACTTCGCTAATTATGGCTGCGTCTGTGTAAAAGCCTGAAAGAGATGAATGTACGCTCGAGCGAATGGTGCGTGGCTCGAGCGAAGCCACTTATGGAAAACACGCGTTTTTGGTTCCTCGCTCGAGCGAGAGAGTCTTCGCTCGAGTGAGCATCGCGATTCAGATTTCTATAAGTACGTGTTTTTGTCAGATTTTAGGATTACTTCTCCAAATCTTCTTCTTGGGTTCTAGGGTTTATATCTGGGGATATTTTGCTAGTTTTCTTTGATGTTTTGATTAAGTATTCAACTCATGGTTTAAAGAGTATATATCAAAGGATTATTTGTTTGTTTTACACAAAAGAGAGGGTTGTTCTTCGGTGGATTCTGAAGAATTCGAGCCTGAAGCTTTGGTGGATTCCGAAGTGGCTCATCGTCAAGACAATTCCGAGGTGAAGACGGGGTTAGAAGAGGCACATAGAGGTTGGTTCAATTCGAGCGTGGATTTGCTAGGTAATTGAGAGTATACCTGTGTAATTCCTTTATATCTTCTTAATGGATTGTTTTGTGGCTGTTGGCCGTGGTTTTTTTATCACAATTGGAGGTGTCCAATTGTGGTTTTTTCACGTAAAATCGTTGTGTCGATTTGTCTTGATTGTTTGATTGGAATTGTTATATACTGCTTAAAATTGATACATAATCACAAATTAACATCTAGGGAATTTCTAGATTTTTCACCATTTTTAGGACCACAGCTATTTTTGACCAAAATTATTTTAGACCTTAAAACCCGCTCTTTCAACATATTTTTGCCAAATATCTGTATGATGTTCCAAGGCTTGCATTTCGTTAAATGTTGCTCTTTTCGATAAACTGAGCAAGGACAAAGTGGAAATAAATAAAAGAGAGGTGAATTCTTTTAAAAAAAAAAAAAAACCTTTCAAAACACCTTATTTAGAAGTTTGGAGTTGAAGAAAATAGGAGGGGGAGGAAGAAAACTAGTTGAGGAGAAGTTAGGCATCAATCCGGTTAGAACCAAAACTGAGTAGCCTTCACTAAAATAGGCATATCTTTTTACGCAATTGGAATTTTTATGTCAGGCTGCCACCATTGGAAAGTAGACTTCCAGGGCTTCAATTTAGACTTAAGAATGACCTACAAAGGAGTCCGGATAAAGGACATATGCCCATTTGAAGTCAGTCCCAAAAAGAAGATTCTCTGGCTAGCTACTGAATGAGGTTTGTCGGCCATGTGCCGGCCATTGATGAGGTTTGTCAACCATGGATGAGTTTTTCCCGCCATTTGTGTGAAAAATCAG